GATCTTACTGAATTAAGTTTAAGTGGCTTTGGGGTCCATTTTCTTAAATGACTAGTTTAAGTATAATTGTGGGTAATGATTGTATGTAACTTCTAGTTGTGAGATGTGATAAATGTAAGACCTATGGATTCAAAGGACTATAGTGAACAGTGTGCCAGACACAAGCTTGCCAAAGTGCTAAGTAGTATTCCTGGGGAATATCTAGAGAGTGATTAATGCAAACTCCCCAGCTCTCATGCAAAAACCCAGCCTTTCAAAGCTATGCCTGGTGAATGGTCCATAGTTTGCTGATCACTTGTTGCACAAGACCTCTATCAAAGGCCAAAGCTTTATAATGGAAAGAGTCAACTATTCGGGGTTGTTCTGGTTCAGAATCTGAGACTGTTTTGACCTTGTAACCGCAGTGAAAACCCTGAGAACCCCACAGTGAAAACACCTAGCACAGGCTGATATAGGTTTTTGATTTTTCTGTAATGCTTTCACCTTGAGAATAAATGTTCTTGCTTGTAAAGAGCTGTATGGTAACTTCTGACTGCATCATTTTTGCTGTTCATTGCCTCTGAGAAAGCATAGTACATTCGTTGGCTTACTGTGGATAACACTGTAAAACAGTGGGCAAACTGTGGCTCATTGTGGTTCTATGTGTAGCCCACAAGGCATTTTGTTTACTGTTGCCTATGTGCAGGGTTGCCAGATTCTGCATAGGTTGTTTTTTTTCCTCCTGGTATTACGTGACAGGCACGTACAGCAAGGACACGTGAAGTGAGTTGCATCTTGAGTGCGCATAACATTGACTGTGTGAGCTGGGTGCTTCCTCTGCACCCAGATAAAGCATGGCTACTGATACAGTGTAGTCGACAGAATTAACAATAAGCCCAGGTATCAGAGGCAGCAGCGTGGGGCATCAGGCAGGATCCGATCTGCTCAGGGAGTTGGTTTCTAATCCAGCTCCCCTTGTGGACCAGCTCCTGCCAGATACCCTGGACTGCTACATCTGATAAAGAGGAAGCAATGCAGGGTGGCAGGGGACTCCCCAGGAGTGGGGCTGGGAGCACACTGGCTGCTGGACCCATCCCCGGGGATTATCAAATAGTCATGTAATTGCTGAATTTTGATGCGGTTACATGACTATTCAGTTACATGCTATCTAACATCCCTAATACAAGCTCAGCTCATTTACCACAATCTTGCGACCCACTGAGATGAAGGGCCATTCATGCGGCGTACTCACTAGCCTAGGTTGCCTCTCACTGCTGTATAGGCAGAGAACTGGGCAGCCTGGAAAAACTCCAGTCAGGAAGGAGGAAGAAAGAGGGTGGGTCTTCTATCCACGAGAGGCGATGACTGAGGAGCTGAGAGCCTAGAGTTGGTGCCATTGAGAGACCACAGAGGAGGAACGCAGGTGCAGTTTTACCTTCAATCATGACTTCTTAGGTAGAATCGAATAGGGGAGTTACAGTGCAGCTCAGCATACAAGTACATGCTATGGTTTACATCCCTGTAATCTGAATTGTAAGGCCATGTAGATAACCCCCACGCCTCTGGGGTCCACATTTCTGAAGGAACTTTTTTTTGTTGCTGATGCAGAGGCCATGAGGAAAGATGCTGTCACTTCAAGGGTCTCATTAGGCATTGAAATCCTTCTGTAAGTTTTACAGTGTGAAGGTATATTTGTCACCTTCACTAGTGTACTGAGTATTTAACCACTGAAGTTTACAGCAAAGACTTGTTGCCTTCGTGGCTTTACTTGATATTATTTCTTGATGCTTTAGTGCCTGTATGTACTCAAACCATTTAAAATAAAATTGAAATGATTAATACTAAAAAATGTGTACACATACAACAGAACTCAATCACCCTTTTTTATGTAAAAGAATTATTGCTTACTTATAAATATAGCTTAAAGTGAAAATGGGGTCATGCTTTGTTTCTTCTGCAGCACACAAAGGAATTAGTTGCACTTGGAGAACGAGCAACATGTTTGTCAATGAGGAGTCTGGCTGAATTCCCATGAACAAGGAGGGGAGGGTTGCATCAGATCATCTCAGTGCTTTGGGGAATTGGGTATGTGGAAATAGGGGGAGGGACTGTGAGAGCAGCAAAATTGCCTAGAATGGGAGGAATGGGTCAGGCTTATACTGTGAGGACTGGGAGTGAGAGGATAACAAATTTGTAAAGGGGAAGCCTGAATAGCGCTTTAGCAGAAGGGTAGAACCGTTTCCAGCACTTTGAGCACTGTGCTGAACATAGGGCCTGGCTGTTGTGGTAGTGGTATTGGGGTGGGGAACTTTTCACCCCAATAGTCAGGGGAACTATTGTAGGGAGGGGAAAATATCTGGAATTAGAGGAACTTGTATATCTGGTTTCTTATCCATCAAATGCAGTATGACATAGCACATATTTTAAAGGCATAAGAGTGCCTCTGATTTGGCTACACAAATTGTAGGACTGAAGGCACTTGCAGGAGTAGTTATTTTCTGGAATAAGGACCCATTACCCCTAACCCTTCTCCCACCCCAGTAAAATCCACCATTGTGGCCATTTCTGAAGTTCTAATGGGCATAAAGTTGTTCTGCCTTGGATCGTTCCTTTATGTTGCTTTTACTGACTGGTTGTCTTCTGCCCAGATACTATGATGATGGGTGCAGTATAAGCAGCTTGAGTTTGTGCTAGCAGCTGAGTAAAATTCAGGGAGCATGACAAGTATCCTACAGTGTGTGGTAGAACCCACACACATATATGATGTGCACTTAAACCTCCGTACTCCGGGTGTCCCTAATCTGGGAACACCAGTGGTATGGAGAAGGAAGTGGTTCTGTGTACTGACACTTTCCCTTCCCTCCTCCTCCTTCCCCCATCCCCAGGTTGGGGTTATAGCAGTGTACAGAACCACTTCCCCTGATGCTTTTCTTCACTGCTCCCATAGCAGCGGGGAGGGGTGGAGAGGGGCTTGTGCCTGGGAGGACAGAACCATGTGTACCCCTGGTGGTAGGGTGGCAGGTAAGTGCCCCTCCCCTTCATGCCCAGATACTGTTTCCCAAGGTTGCCGGATTAAAGAGGTTCGAGTGTATATGAAAAATAGTGTCTTTACATGTGGTACTGTCAGGTGGCATCTCTGTACAGTTAACAAACCTTCTCTCTAGAGAGTCAGGACCTAAAATAGAGAGTACTAGGTAGGGAAATATATAGCAACATACATATGTGTCAGAGATTGGCACTGAGCCCTGTCTTTCTTACTGTGGCATCCTAGTTTGTTCTAACTACTACATCTAAACAAATTTTTCCCTAGGCTAATAGTTGTGATTGTCTGTCTGTCTGTCTCATTACAGAAGTGACTCTGAAGGTCCATGTAAGCGATGCCAGCACTCATCAGCCAGTAACTGAAGCTTTCATTGAAATTTTTACAAACCAGATTTCTATTGCCTCTGGAACCTCAGGAGCAGATGGCACTGCCTTCATCACATTTCAGTATCAGCTCGGCAATCAGCTGATTGTTACTGCAACTAAACATGCATATGTGCCAAATTCTGCACCTTGGAAACCCACAAGATTGCCTGGTAAGAGATGTTTATTTTTGTTCTGAGGTAAGACTTTGCATCTGAAGGAAGTTACAAAACTGTGTGTGACTTACTTAATGCTTAGGGTTGTAACTCTGTGTGGCTGTGAGGGGTAAAATATTAGAGAGGCTCATCAAGACATCTTTGTCGATGTGGATCTTTCTAAGTCCTCTAAAACCAACACACTTAGTCAGATCTCTTTTGAAATTTGGTGTCCCTCAGGAACTAGCAACTCAAATCTGGAGTCATTTGAGCTAAGGGCTCCACAGATATAAGCCCTGAAACAGCCACTTAAAAAAAAAGGGGAGGGGGCTCTAGGTTGGTGTTTGTGTGCAGCTATAGATAGAGATCAAATTATGTATGAGATGCCAATGACAGTGGTTTCAATCTGTTTTACCTGAGGCAGCATATGGCGTTCACTAAATCTTTAGAGGACCCAACCCAAGAACAATATTTAAGAAAATGCACGGGGGGAGGGAAGGGAGGAGTCCCCAGAGGAGGCGTGCTCCGGGACTTCCCTCCTTGGGGGGAGGGGAGGAGAGAGGGCGGAGGAGTCCTGGGAGGAGGCGCGTGCCGGGGACTCCCTGTCCCCACTGGCACACTGTCCGCTACCCCAGCACCCACTAGCCCTTTCCCTAGTACCATGTCATCTGCTCCAACCAGCACTGTTGGGACTACATTAGTGAGGCTTGGAATGGGGGGAGGGTTGGAGGAGTTACTTTTTTGCATCTCACTTGTGTGGCCCTGTTGGGGGGCTCCCCCCTGACTTGGGGTTGCCACCCCCATCCGGGGCCTAGTTCGGCCCACCTGGGCCTAGCCCTCGAAGTACAATGCCCCTCTCTTAGGGGAAATACAGCCTCCTGGCCTAGTCCTCCGGATGCCGGCTCTGCAGCCTAGTCCTCTGGCTGAGCTTCCCACTTGCTTTGCATCTCACTTGTGTGGCCCTGTTGGGGGGCTCCCCCCTGACTTGGGGTTGCCACCCCCATCCGGGGCCTAGTTCGGCCCACCTGGGCCTAGCCCTCGAAGTACAATGCCCCTCTCTTAGGGGAAATACAGCCTCCTGGCCTAGTCCTCCGGATGCCGGCTCTGCAGCCTAGTCCTCTGGCTGAGCTTCCCACTTGCCGGGGTTCGGGGCAGGAGGGGTAGGGGGGCCCGGGCCCTCCCTCTCCACCCGGCCCCGACCCAGGGCCCCG